TTTTCAGGTACACTCCGTTGTCGATCACGTGCTGGCTGAGGGTTTGCTGGACCAGGAACGGCGGAACGAGAGGGATTGCCCAGAGAGCCAGCTCTAGAACCAGCGGCAGACGGCGCCCTTACAGAGCCGGGACGGCTTGTGTGGTGCCTGGCGGGGTATTGAGAACCAGCTGTGGAAGCTCCCGGAGACTGGGCAACAGGTCGTGGGATGCCACTCGGTCTGGAAAGCCTTGATTGCTGTGAATGTACCGAAGGGGCAGGACCATTGTGACCACTGCTTGGTCCAACAGGTCTGTCAACTGGCTGAGTTCCATCCTGACCACCACTTGGTCCAACAGGTCTGTCAGTAGGCTGAGCTCCACCCGGACCATCACTCGGTCTAACAGGTTTTTCAGTAGGCTGAGTTCCTCCCTGACCACCACTTGGTCTAACAGGTCTGCCGACTGGCCGAGTTCCAGGTTGAGCACCGCCTGGCCCACCATTTCGAAAAGCTGGATGATTTCCAATAGTGTCGAAGCCATCCAAAGTATTTGGATTCGTGGCCCTAGGCGGATCTGACGCAGGGGGAGGTGCTGTCTGAAGCAGCAAACTCGATCTTTCGATATCAGTGTTGGGACGAGGATCTCGAGGCTGTCGTCTGAGAGCGGTCAAGATCCGTCTTGCCAAATCTCGACCGCTCCGACGTTGTTGGCTGCCGCGTCTTGCTGGACTTGGAGACTTTTGAACGGCTCCAGAACGATCGTTTCTGTTTTCGCCCCTCAAGCGTTGCACCAATCGCCGGAGCCGAGATGGCCTTTGCCTTGGTACCGCGGGGCTCGGACGGCGGTGAGCCGTCTCGCGTCTCGATGCCCTGGGTGGGTGGGTGATCGGTGCGTGACTTCTTGGACGATCAGCTCTATCATTCCGCCTCAAATTATCAGGCTCGTCTCGCGTTCGTCGTTCAGGAGGACGTTCTCTGTCTTGCCTTTCAGGGCGTCCTCTGTTCTGCCTTTCAGGGCGTGGAGTTGGAGTCCGAGGATTCATGAAAAAACGATTGTCTCTTTCTGGTTGGTTCGGATCCTGTGGAAGCCATGGCCATGGTAGCCCTCCTTGTGGTTGATCTCCCTCATTTCTGGGCCTTGGCCTCGACCGAGGCTCGGAAGGGCCTGCACTTTGACGGTATCCATCAGAGTCATGATTACCATCGCCGCCGTGGTTGTTTTCTCGAGCGTACCCGCCTTGTGTGCCGCGTTCGTAATTTTGGCCGTTGTGGTGATTTATATCGAAGTACCCGCTTTGTTGACCAGACTCATCCTGGTTGCGGCGGTGATCTTGTTCGGTGTAACCGCCTTGTTGACTACGGTCATTTCGATTCTCGTTACCATCACGAGGCAATCTCCACGAAGCGCCTGCGCTTGTCGAGCTCTGAGATAAGCTATTGGGTTGAGGAATCTGAGGCTGGTGCGGAGGCGGATCTCTGTTCTCAGGGGGGCTGCCTGGAGGGGAAACTCTAGCTGCAAGCCGAGCCTGACGCTCCGCCGCGATTCTCCTCCTCCACGCGGTATCACGCGGCGGTTTGCCCCAGCCCTCTGAAGAGCTCCTGGAGCGTGAAGGGTCGCGAATGTCCGCTCGTAGAGGGAAAATGTGTGGAGGCCACGGTGTAAAAGTGGACGGTGGTTCTGCTTCCGCTGCTTGCTCTTGAACATCGGCTTGATCGTAATCTTCAAAGTACCCAAGTCCATCGACAAGCTCTTCTTCTGGCGGAGGTGGTTCAGGTTGTCCAAAATGGAGAGACGGTCTTGGACGGTGCGCTTGTAGAGGATGATTGCTCCGCGATCGGTCCCGAGCCCACATCTGGCGTGCTTCTGAAGGCGTAATTTCATGCTGCGTGCTGGCTGGCCTCGCTTGACGGCGTGCTTGACCTCGAGTAAGTTCCAAATGTCGATCGATCCACGGTCCAGTGGAGTACAAGGGTACGCCTTGACGAACGTAGAGTTGAGTGGTTCCATATGCGTAAAGAGTCTCTTCTCTGCTTGTATGGGCTGGGGTTCGATCACGATGTCCAACCAAACGGCTCCCGTGGTTCCTTGTCGAACTCCGCACTCCAGACGGGGCGCTGTGTCTGATGCTGTGAAGCCCCGAGCTCGCTCCAGACCGGTCTTGACGCCTGTTGCCAACCACAGGCGGATGAACGATCAATTCAGACGTCGACCCTGCTCTTGGGCTGTATTGCTGTGGGGTCCTATGGTTAATTAAAGAGGGTTGGTTAGACGGACCAGCTACCGGGCGGTTTTGACCCTGAGGCCCGTTGCCGGTGGTAGCAGTACGGGGAGCGACGTTGACCCGACCAGTTTGTTGGTGTTGTTGCGGAGCAGCGCCGTGGTCAGTCCCAGCTGGTCCAGGAGCAAGATTGGACGGACCAGCTTCTGGTTGGTTTTGATGTTGCCCGAAGCCAGTATCAGTTTCAACAGCGACAAGGGTGTTTGTGAACAGACCCGTTTCTGGATCGTAACGCGTTTGAAAACTGGGCATCATCACAGGTGGGAGTTGAGCCATGTTAGCCTGAACAGTTATCGGATGGATTTGCCCACGACCCCAGCCGATCTCAACTGGGCGTTCAACAATGTTGGCCAGACGAGGTCTTGGTCGAGCAAGATCAGGCGGTCCAATTCTGCGCGTCAATTGCCCCTGTAGCCCCCGGGGAACTTGAGGTGCCGCTGCTGCCGGAACTCCTGCATCCCCATGTCCCAGGACCCATCGTGCCACACTGGAGGGCTCATTCCCGCGAGGGTAGGATTCGAGCTGCATTCGGCCGAGCGTCATGCCCTGACCCACTGGTAATGGAGAAACGGTCGCCCTACTGTGAGGGTAAAGGGTAGAGATACTTGGACTCGAAGCGTGTCGGCTGCTACAAGCCGGTGCCGAGTTGTTGCTTGTTCCAACCCGAGTCCAAGGCCGAGCTTCGCTTCCAATGTTTCTGTGTGGTTGCTAGCCACGTTCTGGTATGTCCGCCAAACTGCCAAGCCTTCGGGGGATACCTTGCCAGCCAAGAGTAGGAAGACCCGTCATGGGATAGACAAATTCGGGGACGTTTGAGGTTTGTGGAACCAAGATGGGGTCGAAATCGGGGAACGGGACTCTGCCTGGCTCCGGTTCTGAGGCTGTTCGTCTACGCGTTCGCACAGGGCGCGCATGTTGTCGAACAGAGCGAAGGAATACGGAATACACGTTTGTCGGGTCATGGAAGTACATTGGCCCAATTTTTTCGAGCGGATCTTTGACTTCCTGTGCCTCTTTGACTGCCTTGCCAGAAGTTTTAATGTCCAGCGAAGTTCTTCTGGAACGAATCCAAGGCAAATCGTAGACAGGGGTGTCGTGGCGATCATCAATTGCTGGAGAATTGGGAGATCGATCACATTTGGGAGAAAGACTTCGGGTTCCATATGGAGCAGGCACTGGAGAGCCAGCACTGTTTACCTCTGGGCCAGCAGTCCAGTAAGCATCATCGTGTCTGTCGGCTGGAATATACTCATAAAGGTAGATCCGATTTCCGTGGCCGTCTCTCTGTCCTATTTCGTCGAGGTTGAGAAATAGTCGTCCGCAACGAGGGTGAAAGAAAGAGCTGTAGCGAGGGTGCCTATCAGGGGTGGCGAGATCTCGCAGATTGTCTCCCAGCATCGGGATCGAGTCATCGGAATGACCGGCCGGTAAGTTGGGGTAAAGTGGATTATATTTGGGCGCGTCGGCGGTATCCTGAGAATCCTCGAAATCGTAAGGTCTTTGGCCACCAATGCCTGCTGGAAATACGGTGAGATTTTCCGGGCGAGAAGGATTCGTCAAGGCCAGAAGCTCCGAAGTCCTGTCCTGGGCCGCAGGAGCCTTGCCATCCAACAGATCAAGCAGTCTCTGCAGCAAACCTGGAAGTGGTTTCTTGGAAGGGTTTTCGCTGGATCCACTGCTAGATCGAAAGACGTGAGTCTTTTTCAAAGGAGGGTTTGAGTGGCTGGGTGCCGTGCGGACGGGCCGTCTGGGTCTTGTACAAGCCGGGTGTTGGAAAGAGGTGAGTGAGTGCGCATCGAAGCCGGCCTCAATTTCTCGTGCGCCAGGCGTGAAAGCCGGAGGAGACGCTCGAGACCTGGAAACGTGGCAACCAGCGTGCTGCCCTGTTGCGGTCTCTCGGCGACGGCTTCTCACAGACGAGACAAGAGTGCGACGGTAGTAAGGACCGCAGGGGTCTTGAGAACACCGCCTGCGTGGCCTTGCCATTGCGGAGGTGCGTCGAGCCTGGTGGTTCTGAAGATGAAAGGGCTCGACCAAAGAGCGTCGTGTTGACAAGGTGGATGAGAATTAAAGTGGAAGTGGTGGTGATGATGGTGGAATGAATATGTAAGCTTGCTTGCTTGTTGTTGATTTCCAGGTGAGTGAAATGGTAAGACTGCCTGGGAGAGTGGAGATGTTATTCGTCGTAAACGATGACAATGTTGGGTATAATGCGATGAGGGATCGTGGATCTGAGATCGATCTGGGACTGGAACTCCACGCGATGAACCGCTGGGAGGCGCGGAGCTCCCTCCTGGCCGAGCGACATCGTCGCTTCCTGATGTTGTAGCGTTTTCCGTGGCGACGGCGTGATGTTGGCAGGCTTTGAAGAAGGACACGTCGGACAGATCATGAGTTCCACGGTGGTTTCCTTGCAAGATTTCCAACAAGCAGAGATGCAAGGAAGGAAGAAATTCGTACGCAAGATGCACCTGGACATGGAGCCAACCAGTACCGAAAGTCGGGGTTCTCTGCAGCAGGATTGTGCTTGAGGGAGCCGTGGCGCAAAGCGCGTTCGAGGCCAAACTTTGACTCTTGTCGGAAGTGCAGGTGAAATGTGCTGTGGCGGCGACATGGTGCACGCCGTGGTAGTAGCAGTGGTAAACAGGCAGACGACATCACCCACCAACCACCAGGCGCCAGAACCACCAAACCTCTGCAAGTTAAAGTCTCCACAATTCGCCTTCCTTCCATCAACAAAAATCCATTGTGGTGTAATGGTAACACAACAGACTACGAAAGCCGGTCGTGGAAGCTGGCACTATCAGGGGAGAAATGGCGCTTGTCGCCTATCCTGCTGGCCGCCGAAGCGGTAGGCGGTAAATGTCTGGAGACCTGAGTTCAATCCTCGGCAATGGAATACCTTTTGCGTTGGTGGGCGTCTTGTCCTTTTTGTTTGCTGCTGGGTGAGTGTTTATTTTGGTTGTTTCGTGGCTTGTGGTGGAAGGAGAGGAGCTGCGTTGGGCGTGAGGCCCCTCTCCGCCCCTGTGGATGTTTCTGTAAAGCGGCCTTACTTGGAGAGTCAAGTTGTCAGTCACCTCGCCCCGCGAGAAAACATTTCTTCTAACAAAGCCAATAATGAGGGAGGTAGACAAAGGGTGGAGCAAACTCCGGTCATGACAAACAAAGAATTTCCTTGACGTGTAGGTACTTGTGAATCGAAATCTGGTATCGCCGCCCCAAACAAAGCTTTCGCCCGTTCAAAATCATAAATGCCGCCCAGTCTAAACAATCAAATGTAATGACAAGAAATAACCAAATCTCCTAAATCTCAACGGCAACACTGCCCCTCAGATCTCTAGAGCTGCTACCCACGGAAAACGTGTATGTGCCCTTGGCCAGCGCCCACTCCTTGGCCGCCGTGTCCCAGTGGCTGATATCCTTGCGGCGCACCTCGAACGTGACGGTGCTCTTGGCGCCCTTGTCGAGAGGCACCTTCTCGAAGCCGCGCAGCTGCCTCACCGGCTGGTTGGCGGCGGCCGGGTACGAGACGTAGAGCTGGGCGACTTCGGCGCCGGAGCGCGAGCCGGTGTTGGTCAGCGTTGTGGTGATGGTCAGGACGGTGTCGAAAAGGTCGGTCTGTGGATTTGTTTGTTAGTCATAGATTTGTTTGATGCCTGCATGAGATACTGACCTTGCCACCAATAGCAATGGGTCCGCTGGGGTACGTCGCGCTCAGTGCCGTCTCGTTCGTCTTCTTGGCCGTCACATCACCGTACTCAAACGTCGTGTACGAAAGGCCGTGGCCGAAGGGGTAGCGCGGCGTGACGTTGAAGCGGTCAAAGTGGCGGTAGTCAATGTAGACGCCCTCGTCAAAGTCGCACTGTGCCGTGTAGCAAAGTTTGACCGGGTAGTCGCTCTCGTTCTTTGCAAGGGTGCTGATCAGCTTGCCGCTAGGGTTGACGTCGCCGTAAAGGACGTCGGCAATGGCGTTACCGCTCTCCTGGCCCAGCATGCCGCCGTAAAGCACAGCCGTCACATTTTCAAGCTCAATCCAGGCGTCAACGAGGCGAGGTCCGACAGTGTTGATAACAACGACAGTGTTGTTGCACTCGGAGGCGACCGACTGGACGAGCGTGTCTTGGTCGGTGTTGTACAGCTCTTCCCTGTCAGCACCCTCGCCGGAGAATGAGTTCAGGAAGACGAGGCAGACTTCAGAGTCCTCTGCATAATTGGTGATGGAGGGCGTAACTGCTGTGCCTTGGCCGAGGTTGGAGAGCGCATTGCCGCCGCCTCCGCCACCTCCCCTGGAGGCTCCGGACCCGCTGCTCGTGCTGCTGGAGCTAGAGTTGCTGGATCCGCTGGGACCCCCAGTGCCTCCAGTGGTGGGTGGCGAGCCCATGCCCATACCAGAAGAAGAGGAAGAAGTGTACGTGTCGTTGAGGATCCAGCGAATCATGCTGCCATCGGCAGCAGCCCGCGTCGTGAGACTCTGGTAAGGAGTAATGAGGTAGGAGAAGGAGAGTTGACCGCTGCCGCTGCCCGATGCCAAGTGGCCCTGGTACGTAGGACCGCTCGACCCTTGGACACTGAATGCCTGGTTGGGGCCGGCCATGGCAGGGCCAGCATGAGCACCAAACACGCTGATGGACTTGGGGCGATCCAAGGGAAGACCGCCGCCGTTTGTGGCGTTATTCTTCAGAAGGACAAGAGACGCGGCGCTGACCTCGCGGATCAGAGCCGAGTGGTTGGAGCGGACATCGCGGTAGTCGGTCGAGCCGGCCTCAGAGGGTTGCTTGCCGTTGTCCAGTCCGACATAGTAGTATCCAATGACGTTGCGGATGGCCATGTCGTCGAGACGCGCCTGGGTGAAGGAGCCGTTGCTAATGCCAGCCTCCAAAATCGTTGACGTCCAGAGAGAGCTTGATCCGTAGTCCAGGCCAGCGTTAGCTGAGCCGTAAGAGGTCGATTGCGAGTTTACGTCTGGGAAGACCATGCCGGGGAAGCCAAGCTCCTCCTTGAGAAGTTCAGAGACAATGTGGCTGTTTTCGCACGACTGCGAGTTGTTCACCCGGGACATGGCGCACATGACAGCGGCCATGCCTGCCTTCACACCGTCCTGGAACGGCCAGAGGTAGAGTTCATGGATAGTCTATGTGGGTCAGTTTCCTTGCTGTCAGCTCAAAGGGGCTAGGATATACCTTATCATCAGCGTTGGACGAATACACCGAGGACGTCGAGTCCGACGTGCCAGTGGATCTGTTCGTCTCCTGCTCATTGAGCAGAAAGTGCCTACCGCCTGCAACGACGCCAGCTGAGTTCATTCCACCAATGGTTTTGGCCAGGGCAACGCCGCTAAGGTACGGGTCAGGCGAGAAAGCTTCTGATTGGCGACCGCCCCACGGGGTGCGACCAAGAGGCCCAGCCTCGGGACCGTTGATCAGGTTGTAGCCCATGAGATAAAACTCACGACCCGAAGCTTTGGCCTCGGCTTCAAAGTAGTCTTTGTCCCAGGTCATGGCCAAGGCATTGCCCATGGGGAAACCAGAGACGTAGTATTGGTAGTTGATTCCAGCAAAGCCATCCTTGTTGGCAAGAGCTGTCCAAGAGGAGCCATTGGTCGAGTCGACATCGCTGCCGGTAATTATGGAAACCTTTTGCGCGTTGGTCAGTCCAGACACAAAGGCTTTGGCTTTCGCATAAGCTTCAGCAAAGTCGCCGAGATCCTGAACTGTTCGTCAAAACAATTAGCCATCAAGCAAAGTGTGCAACCTCGGCCGACTCCCAGTTCAGGGCCAGGGCACATACCATGTCCAGATGACAGAATGGCCGCGTTGGACGAGTTTGATGCTGCACTCACGCCGCAAAACAGCGTCGAGGCAAGACCGAAAGCTGCCGCAGCTTTCATCTTGGAGAATCGGAAAACCCAAAAAGAGTGTATAGACGATGACGAAACGAAAGGACTGACTGGTTCTGAAGAAGGCAAAGGAAACAGGGGGATCGGTCAACTATGTATACCAGACCCCAAGGCTTTTTTGATATAGAGCGTCGCCATCATCGCACAGGCCGTCCTAGGACCAAGTTTCTCAGATAGGGTGCTGTCGTAACCCCAGGATCGCCCGCGAGTATGGCCGACACCAAGGTGTTTTTTGATTAGTCCAGGAGGCCCGACAATGCCAAAGGGAGGGCAGTACGCGTCGTCATGGTCCACGAAGCGTTCATGAGGTGTCCAGCGCGAGCGCGCGGCAGCGGAGTGGTTGGCCGTTGGATGGAAAGGCGCGAGTGTGGACCCACCAAAATTCGGAGCTCGGGATTTTGCTTTTGCTGTGCAGTGCTGCTCGTCACCGGCTCACCAGCCCGAACTGGCAGTTTGCGACATTCAACGGGCTGTGCTCTTCTCCACTGACTGTGTGTCGGAAAAGCTTGGCTTTCTTTAAAGTATCCGCATCGGCGGCGAAATCTGACGTCGCATCTTGTCTGGACTGCGCGGTTCAATATTGCTGCGCGCGCGCGGAGTAGGAGTTGGATTCCCCTTCTTCTGCGGGGAAGATCCTAGCACATTTCCCACAAGCTTTCCAAGGGTTTTTGCTGCGAAGATGAACAATAACCATGTTCTGCTATTCGGTGAGATGGCTCTCGACCATAGAAAAAATAGGCGTTGTCAACTGCAAGGGAGACAATAACGCGCTGCGCGACAGGCAGAGAGCGTCTAGACCCTTGGACAAACGCGCCGATGCAAATTGCCCGGTCCATGTGTTCTATGCAGGAAGTCCATCGCAACGTGCGTGAGACACATGGCACCCCGCAAACTGTAGAAGCACCTCCCCTGGCCAACTTCCTCTTGTTACGTCGTCATAGCGCAGTCAATTTCCGGCCTGGAGTACGCCCAAACACATTTACAGGATGTTCTGGCGATAACTTTGCTTTGCCTACCTCAGGTGTGATCTTGCTTCTATTGACAAGCAGGGATGGTGCATTGCCCGACTGCCACGCGGCTCTGTAAGGAGGTCAAAATAAGGCCCTTGGCAATCCGCCAATGAAGCTCCTCGAGCAGGAAAATGTGCCAGGAACACTCGGAAATTCCGAGTTTGCGGCTGCTTCCGCCTCCGATCGGACTGCGAACGGCCAGCCTTACGGCCATCTTTAAGCGAAAACCAACCACGTCCACGCAATCAACGCCAGCGACAACGTCAGAGCGTCCTGCTTGTGTCATGTTTCCCGCTGATACCAGTCGCAGAGATCAGCGTTTTTTGGATACCGTAGGCGAGAGCGCTTGGCACCATGTATTCCCGCTGCACCCCGTGTCTCCACCAGGCCGATTGCGGCACCAGGGAAAAAGAGAGGGAAAAGGGGGAAAAGAAAGCAGAGACGAGGCAAAGTCAATGTGACCGATAACTGCGCTATTCCACTTTGCAATGCTGATCGCAAAAAGTGGAGTTTCGGGGGCCGTCGATTTGAAATTTTGGCAGGGGCGAAGAAGTTGGGGCAAAGTTGGAGCCCTTGTGGGGATGAGGGGGATTCAAGCGATTCCCCGGGAAGGGTCTGAATGAAGAAGACACAAGACCAGCTTTCCAGTGACAGGGATTCCAGCGTGTTCTCCATGACACAAAAGTGCTGCGTGTTCCCCATCTCTTTGGAAAAAGCAGCGAACGAACGTTGTCTGTCCCCGCATCTTCTGGACAACTTCGGTCTTCTTGTTTTGGTGCAAGTACGACCTGGGCGAGGTTGCGATAGTGCCGTCGCTAGGCATCACAGCCAAATTCGGAGTTTTCATTGCGAAGATTGCCTGCAGATGGACGGTTCCTGCTCGTCTTACCAGAGGAGAGGTTTGTGCAATAAAGGAAGAAGACGCTCGAACTGCTGAAGCGCCCGATGCTGCGGGTTCACAGGGACGGAAATTTTCCAAGCCTTCCCAGCGCT